CCATCGTGTCGCCAGAATAACCCTGGTCCGTTGAACATGTGCGAGTTCTTGTTTTGCTGCCATGCAAGTGGCATAGCTATTGTGTGTGCAAGCAATGCAACTGCATTGTGTTTCACGAGCCACAGCGGCCACGGCATCAAGATACAAAGAGTGGAGAAAATTGTACAGGGAAGTGTGGAAGGGGTGAGGCATATGTTATTCATTGCAACAGGCCCCATGCCAACCATGCTATACCACTGCCCTTGTGTATATGTTGTCCTTGACGATATTTTTTTTACATCTCTTTATGCGTTTTTTCTTATCAACTTTGTTCCCCATTTTTTTGCCCCGGTATGTATTTTTCACAGTTTTTTGCTAAGGTTAGGCACCTAAGAGGTTCCGGGGAATTGGCACCTTTCCTGCACGTAAGAGCGTGCCCGTCCACATTATTTCTGCTCTGTTAATTATGCAGATGTGTGATCAGCCCGACCTCACTGTTAACTGAATTCACAAAAATGCGGAATCTATAAGCAAGAGGAGTTTCACTGCAAACGCTGTTTTACGTGCTTTTTAAACCAATCCCAGATATCTGTGAATCAATACTTTAACTCACATATTTTATGGGAATATGTGGAGAATCCTATTTGATCCAGGGTGCTTATTTATTACATTGTATCTCCGTGGTTCTTTCAGCAGTGGCAGCTTACACCACAAATCACGTGTGGAATGGGCAGAATGAGTCAATTGAGTGCGATATTGCCAATTTACTCAATTTTGTACATTCAACATCCAATTTCACTGGCCACCACACATTTATCAACATCTGCCACTACCCCACATTAAGAATCACAGTATCTTTGTTACCTTATCCATCATGGACACCTATGTGGACCGAGGAAGTAAACTGTAGATTTAAAAATAGGTAAATCCATATTGCAAACGGGATGTATTGGTGGTGCGGTGCTTAGAGTAGCAAGCTATACATTTGGAGACCCGAGTTTGATACCTGGCCATGGCTAACTGACATCAGTGTTGAGTGATACCTGAAACGTGTTGAAGTATGGTCAAACAATCTCCATGACCAACAGGGCGTGGGGAGGCCTGAATGCAGCAGTGGATTGACAAAGGTGCATACATCATTATTGCTATCACAGCTATAATAGCCTCTGTGGTGATCTTTAATAATCTTGTCTTTCAAAGTGCAATATTGTTAATGAACGGTAACGTTGAATTCAACAATATGATATCGCATTGGTTTTCTACACTTAAAGGTTTTGAATGCAAGATGTGGTAGTTTGCATAATATATGCAAACAATTTATTTTTTTTCTCAGTGTTTCTTTAAAAAAATATCCTGAAAAAAGAAAGTTGTCACCCTTTATTTGCTGAGTAATGGGAATTTTAAAGCCCAATTGCCACTTTCAAAATATTAAACTGAAAAAATATCGTATGTCTTTAGAGATAGGTAAACATTAAGTGTTGCTCCTTCCACATCATGCTCGACTAAGCCACATAATGCCAACCATTACCATGTCTATTTTGGTATTTCAGCTTGCGATGCAAATAAGGAAATTCATTATTTATTTCCTGTCTTCAATAATGTAACATTGTTTCCACAATTACATGAATTATTAAAAAAGGGAATATTTTAAAATCCAAATTCAAAATGCAACCTCGAAATTCACGTGAACAAGGTCTGAAGGTTACGAGACATTTTCTTTCCCAACATAAGGCGCGTCTCAAATTTATATTTTATCGTGAACGTATTGTTTTCAACAATTTTTAAAGAGTGATGCATGTATGTACAGCCTACTAGACCAACTAAGGTTTATATCGCTATTTAACATACACTACAGAACAATAATAACGCTGTGGTTTTCACACCGGATGATGACTGCTTGTGTTGCAATCGAAACGTCGTGAGAATGTAATTGTTTTATTTTTATTATTTTATTATTTCCCTTCTACGTGACTTTACCGAAAGAACCAATAATATGAATCCATGCAGTCACAAAAGCTTTAAATCGAAATTTAGTTAAATGTAGCTAAGAAGATAAAGGTGCAGCCCTGCAATTGCCTCGCTCATCCCACTGCTTGTGGGGAATACCTATGCTAGAGGGAGAGTTCTAGAAAGCACTCCTAAGAAATTGGTAGGTTTCCTCTTCCCCGCTTGGCCGGATGTCTTGGAAAAAGCACCCACACTTTATCCCACCGCACACGATCTGCTGATTAACTAACTGTGCCGTAACCATTTATAATTGCCTGGGTAGCCATAGGGAAAGGTGGGGAATTTAGAAACGTTCCCAATTTTTCAACTGCCGTGCCAGGAGAAGGAACTGAACCAGAGACCTCTGGATTGCCAATTAGAGTGTGCTGCTAAGCATTGCAAACTATTGTTGTAATTTGAAAATGTCGCACGGCAAACATTGTGTAAGCAACCAATGAAGCACTGATCAATGTCGTTGCAAAAAAGATAAATGTTCCCTACGTATTTATACGAACTTACTTCGGCCATTTTAAGTGGGAAGATTATTATGAAATTAAAATGTCTTCATATTTTTTTATATCTACAATGTGAACACAAAATGCACCAACACAGCCTACGCCATCAACTGAAAGATAATAACTCGCATCCCTTTGTGAATCCACTGCTGGATGAAGGCCTTCCCACGTCGTGTCAGTCATGGGAGTTGTTTGACCATACTTCACCACATTTGTCAGTGCGATTTGGTGGAGGAGGAAACCAAGGATTGGTTCGGCTGTCCAGAGGCGTAGCTAGGGGGGGGCAGGGGGTACATATGTCCCCGGGCGCCAAGGTAAAGGGGCGCCAAAATGAGGCTTACAACATTACATTATAACTTATTGCGGCGGGTGCGGTAGCCTGAAACTACTGCACAAATCTACACCTCAACCTAAAAGTTTATGTATCCCGCCACACACAGCCTACATGTCATGTAATCACATTTGGTACGCGCGCCTATTAAGAACTTACATGAAAGAACGTCCCAAACAACAGACAGGCGCAGTCTTTCAGCCTTAGTCACTGGCCTGTTTTTGGTGGCGGAAACTACGACGGCCTGAAACACACTGGAGTGCACTATCAGAAGCTGTTAAAGCTATCTATGAAGGACTCGATGAACTAGTAGGGCTGCTAGACAAATTATCGGAGGACGTAACTATGACGCCTGAAACCAGAAGTGATGCAGAACAGTTACAGGCATGCGTATTAAATTTTAACTTCATAGTTTTATTACATTTCTGGAATGTCATTCTTGGAAAAATTGATCGTATTCAGAAGCGCTTACAGGATCCTACTATGAATTTCAAGGAAGCAGCAACTGAATCTTGAATCTTTGGGGCATGAATTTGTCAAGCTTCGTGATGATTTGAGCCAATTTGCTGTAGAAAACGCCAAAACAAGATGCACAGCCTGGGAGATCGATGTGGACAGAAGAATTAGGCGACGTCGGAAGATGCCAGGAGAACTGGCAAGAGATACAGGACTTTCAGCAGAAGAAGAAATTGTGCACGTTATGAAGAGCGTATTTTATCGACTTCAACAGGAGATGTCAACACGGTTTTTACGACTAAAAGACCTGAACACAAAATTTGTATTTCTGCTGGACGTCAAAACTCTTCTATCCGATGTCGATGCAATTCGTCAAAATTGCACAGATTTTGGAAATTTCTATGACACCTACATGAATGGCCACGAACTTTTCACAGAAATTGGAGATTGCAAAATGCTGCTCAGTAACCGGAATGAAGTTCTACCAGAAACTCCTTTGGATCTTCTTGGTTTGATTGTGTTTTATGGAGACGACATATTTCCGAATTTGCGAATTTCAATGCAAATTTTATTAACAATAGCAGTTTCAATTGCAAGCTGTGAGCGGTCGGTCAGCAAATTGAAACGTATTTTGTCGTATTTGCGTGCTTCAATGGGACAAGATCGTCTCAGCGATCTTGCTCTTCTTAGCATTGAAAGAGAAACATTGGAAAAAAACTAATTTTGATGACGTGATTGACCAGCTTGCGACAGTGAAATCAAGAAAAATGTATCTTTTGTAGACTATGTCAACCAGTCTACGACAGTGACTGAGTGAGCCATGTAATATAATTTCTATAAATTTGCTTTTTTAAATACAATGTTTCATTAAAATTTAAATTATTCCTTATTCGATGTAATAGGAAAATGTGATTAAACGGGGGGGGGGGGGGGGGGGGCGCCAATTTTATAGTTCGTCCCCGGGCGCAAAATATCCTAGCTACGCCTCTGAGGCTGTCACTCGCCACGAATGGTCTGGAATCAAACTCGGGTTGCCAGGTCCATAGTGCAGTGCGCAGCTCCCTTTGTGCAAGCTCTCCAACCAAAGTGAAATCATAAATAAAGAGTTATCTATTTTTAACTGCCATGCATTACAGAGTATTCTCCAGCAAGTTAATGCATACCTTTTTTTTTTCAAAGTAAGAATATATTTTAGGAAATTTACACAAGACAAAGATCCCCCCCCATATAGCCTTAACAGACTTTTGGTGCAACTGCTGTGAGTGAGCACATATGACGGCTGGCATGGCACACAAGGGGGTGGATGGCACCATACCCGGGCGCCTTTGTCTCTCCATTGCTGATGTTTATACAGAGCACCAGGTACTCCCATTTAAGGCTGAGTAGAACTCGGGGGAGGCCCAGGAGCGGTTCAGATAATCGCCACTGGCAATTTACACACCCGCACACACACAAGCTTAATATCTATTTCTGAAAATAAAAATCCCACCGATATTATGAATCAATTTCACAGCTTGCTCACATAAACCTAAAGCAATCGGCTTATCCTGGAGATTATGAACACTATATTAAAGTTGCGTTAAGTTAAGCAGAAACAGTGAGGCATGGATATACCCTATACAATTCCCTTTTAACTACACCAGCCACACGTGGCGACGAATATATTTCCAATGCCTGAGCTTGATTATGTTTTCACCTAACTCGGAGTCCTCTTAATGATATAAAAGTCTTACCAAATTGTGAATCGATCCACCGTGGAATTCGGCAGGAGGCAGATGGGAATGCTGATGACGTTTTCAGGTCTCAAGGGCCTCATGGGAAGCAGGATCGCCACGTCATTATCCAGCTTTACCTCGCGAGTAGGGGGCAGGTCAGGTGCCCGATACAGCACCAGTTTTCCCACCCAACGAAGGTTCTGTAGCAGGATTGACAGCTCTTGTGCCTTCCAGGCATGCACCTCCGTATTGTCCTCTTTTGCGCACTCGCCACCCCACTGCATGGCACAGTAAAGCTCCACCTCTGCGTATGTCAGCAGAGGGCTGGGAGGCCAAAACCACCGCGATGGAAGCACAACCTCCGCTAGGCACATTGCCAAGGTTCCGGACAACTGGCACGAACTCCTCACTTCTTGCGCATCTTGGAAAACGTGCAGCCTTATGCAAGGCAGGTCCCGCATCGAGTCAGGGTCCAGCCAGTCTCTTCCAGTAATGTAAAACATCACTTGAGCTTTGGGCCTATCAGAAAACATAATTTCCTCCGTTAAAAGTGGTTGCAGTTGCCAGCTGGACCTCGGGCCAATTGAATCAGGCTGAAAAGAGTTTCTGGTTCGTAGGAGATCAATCGTGACTGGCTTTGAGGCTGAAAAAGGTCCAAAACTGACGTTCATGATTGGCGGTCCATTGGCTTTAAGAATAACAAAAGGTTGGGAGTGGGATGTGAGGTTTGCATTTGTTGCAATTTCCTGGTTCACCCTCTTGAGGAGGTAGGATGTCTCCGTGTGAAGAAGCTCGTATCTTGCAGGTAGATAGAGCAGTGGTGAGTAGAGGTGTTCATTGTCCAAACTCATGGCCACTGTTGACATAATAAAAAACAACACAAGTTATGTATTAAAACAGCAGTTGTATCGATGCAAAATCCACCAAACAAAACGATATTCCATTAAAGCAGGACATATTATTGTTCAGATTGCACAATTTAGTATCATCGTCATTGCAAGTCAGGTTAATACTAATAATTATAGCTGCTATTATTCTATCATGTGCAAATAATATCGCATTTATTGTAATATGTTATGAAAATTGAATGGCAGATAGCAATCTTGACATACATTTTGAAAAGAGACATGTTTTAAACAGTAATGATTGTAAATTTTGACTTAAAGCTTTCGTGACTGCAGGGATTCATATTCTTGGTTCTTTCGGTAAAGTCACGTAGAAGGGACATAATAAAATAATATGATATTAATATTATACCACTAATGTGCAAAAATATTATATAAATATTATTTTATTATTTCCCTTTTACGTGACTTTACCGAAAGAACCAAAAATAGTAATGATTGTGTTCAATTTCTCATTAAATATTGATACGTGACATTAAATGCTACACATTTTTGCACATTATTGCTATTGTTATATGTGTAAGAATGTAAAGCAGAGGCTGAAATCTCAGCAAGTCATGGCTATCGCCACAGCAACCCATTCATAAGCTAATTGACATCAAAAGAAATGGCATTCTGTGTCAAAATAATACAAAAAGTAAACACGAGTGCATAAAGGGAATTTCATTTCATCATAATCATATAAATTCATATGCATTTTTTCATATTTCGTTTTTATATGAATTGACAGTCATTTTTATTACGTGCCTAAGTTCCCCCTATTAATCTGCACGCACATGCCGATCACGCAGTCTAATACAGAATTAACTTGGCGAGCCGTATGTTACATTAACCCCAGGCGACTTCGTAAATATGAATAGATGTAAAAATGTCATTTCTTACATTTATTGTGCTGCATGTAAAATTTTACACGGTTGTTTATGATGAACACAATTACAAGAAGATTGTAATTATACATTTAGTCATATACCAAAAATAGCAACAAATATACCAACAACTATGAATATAAAATTTTCATTGAAAGAAAATTAACTAACTGTTTAAAAAGACAGCATGTCAATATAAACTTAAGTCAATTTTAAAAAAAACTTTTAATGGATGAATACTGAAATAAAACGACATGCTGGCACCACATATAGATACTATCTAGTGAGCGAGGCAATTTTTTTTGTCAATTGTCATCTTAAATGACCCAACTTACGTAAATAATGACTCAATTTTCAGATGATTGATAACAAAAAAAGCACATAGCTATTTTTTATTCAACAAAATTATTTTTCTTAGGACAATGCTCAGGAACAACATTTCACAATGTGTACTCTTTGGTTATTTCAGTAAAGTCACGTAGGTATAAAAAAATCACGACGTTTCGGGCGCAACACAAGTGTCCGTCATCAGGTGGCTTTACCGAAAGAACCAAAGAGTATGGATTCCTGCAGTCACGAAAGCTTCAAACCAAGATATCACAATGTGTTATAATAACAATAAATGACGGGCCCCTTTTCAATCCACTGCTGGATGAAGCCTTTCCATGGTAGTCTGAGTCATGGGCATGGTTGACCGTACGGTACTGTAAAGTAGGAGCCGACACCAGATTGCAGGGGTCTCGTCCTTTATTCCTTTCCTTCCATCCACACCTGTCCCCCAGCCGTCCCAATCTCGTTCCCGCCAAAGGCCCCTTCTTCCCGCCCGTTCTCTCCTTATATCTCCTTGATCACCCCTCCCACTAACCCATCTATTGGTGGGAATCCTTCCCCTGACACCCCTACAGTACTTTATCACGCTGGTCAGTTCTGGTTGGTGAGGTGGGGCCTCAAGACTAGTTCGGATATAACTCCCCACCGATGTTAGCCGTGAGCGGAAATGAAACTCGTCGCCGAGTTCATAACGCAGCAGTGTGTGCCAACCACTTTACAGCCATTCACCCCAACGATGGATAAAAGGTAATCTAAAATCAGGCAAGAAAGACAAAGTGATGATCCTTATTTGACGCAGAGACATTATAATGCAATAACAAAGGAATAAAAGTGACTGTGCTCACAGAATCATACGGATAATGGCTTGGCTGCATGCTCGTGCTGTATTTTCAATCTTCAACCTGATTATTTGCCAATAGGTCCAACTAAGGGGTTAGGATTGGGAGCAGTGAGTCACTGATCAGCATGCATTTTCATTACTCCGTGACAAGAGGCCCGAACTAAACCATCTGAAATTTCCCGTTAAAAATAATTCGGTTGAGTGCAACGCTGCATCATAATTGCAATATCATGGCAGAGAAATGCGAATTCCGTTGTTGCTATATTGTAGATGATATATTTCCCCAATAGCCGATCCTGTTATAACATTTAGATGGGGTAATTACAAAGCTGAAATGTATTATTTTAAAATCTATTCATTAAAATATCCTGCAAGCATGCAACGAAGTATCCTGTATTGAGTATAATAATTTGAGCTTATTTTAATAAACCTCTCTCTTTGTCCCTCTGTTGGGAGACCGCTCCACGAGCAGTGGCGTGAGCATACAACTTGCAGGGGCTGCACCTTTACCTTGATGTATTCTAATACAAAATAGTCACACTTTTCAGTCGATGAGTCTTCATTTGTGCCTAATGCTTTTTTTACAAAATGTTTAACGTGCACATTATATAAAAATTGTGGTGCATTGCCCAACAAAGTTAGAATTTACCCCCCATGATCTCTTGCAGCCTGTTGTGTCAAAAAGGTAAGCTTGCCAAACGGATAGGATTTATCTGTCAGCTCATAACCAAAATCGAGAATCTCCCTGACAGAACCTTGCAGGAATCACCTGGGGCACCTCAGCTAAGCAGAGCTGAGCCTGGATAGTGCCTCGATGGATGACGACCGGCAACAGAAACACGCCGTTATAGCATCGCTGCTACATTGTGTGCAGCACAGAGCACTGCAGCAACAAAAATTGCTGTATATTACAAAGAGCGGCAACAGAAACACGCCGTTATAGCATCGCTGCTACATTGTGTGCAGCACAGAGCAGAGCAGCGACAACCATTGTACTGCACCGTGCTCACAACAACTCAGCTCTTCCGCCTTCACCTACCCACACTGACCGGCCTGGCGAGGTATGATGTAACGACCCAAACAGCATCAGGACAGCCCTCATTCTGGCAGTGTCTGTAGGTGCACGTGCTAACCCCCCCCCCCCCCCCGACTGTTCCTGCACCACACTTAGATGGGCAAACAGCGCTTTGTGCTGACTTGTTTAGAGTAGCACCTCTCTAAACACTTTGCTCGGATTCGTACGTCAACAAATGATGGCTCGCTGCTTGCTGGCGGCTTCAATGAACGCTGTGAACGTTGTATTTGTAGCCCGTTTGGATGTGGAGTAGTTTCCAGCCGCTACTCAGAAAATAATAAAAAAATCACAATGAATGCCAAAATACTGTCAAGATCGTATACCGTGTGAAGAAAATGTTTCTGTGATGTCAAAATTGCCGCGTAGCCCGTGGCGCAAGTATTTTGAAACTGTACCTCGGCTATAAAGCTATTATGGGGAAAAACATACTCACCGTTGGCTAATAGTACATCATTGGCAGATAATAAAGTAGGATTCACCATCATCATATTTAACTGCTCCTCCCCACGTTATGGTATCCTTCATGCTCCTACAATGCCACAATCCATCGTGTTTTTATCCTTGTGTTGGTCATTTTTTTGTGAATGTCCCTTCCTTATTTGTACTTAAATTCGTTATTTATAGTTATTTTTCGTGACTTGCTTACCTTTTCTCTATTTTGCACTCCTATCATGTTTTTCTATTGTTTGTTGTTGTAACTTGCTAACCCGTCCCGACTAGAAATCTGTGATAAAGAGGTTCATAGCTCATCGGGTTGCTCCAGTATATATATCTAAACAAAAATTCAGATTACATTTTTTATGACATTCCATCGCCAGTCTTGTGGAGGTGATGGTTGGTGGGTCACACAAATGTTGTCTAACTCCCTTCCCGTGAGCGCCGTGGTGCTATAATCCTGACTTGCCAGGAGAATGTGAATTGGAGGTGCGGTATAGAGTGTTTCCTCCTTGCATCAATGTGTGCGTTTTTTTTTACGGGCGCTCCAGTTTCCTCCCACTAGTCAACACTCATTAACTGGCTAATAACGCCTTTACTAGATTAGAGGACTGCAGATCCTCTTAGGACGTTTGGTGCCAGCTCACAAAACCACGTGGCTGCCTTTCCCACTCTGTGGTCCCTCGCGACTCTCATTCCTTCTGTGCGGCACGTGAGAAGTTTAAATTATGACACTGGTCAACACACTTTTTCTGGCGTAAGGTATTCCAACGGTTTTAATGTAATTTTGGGGTGCTGATTCCAAATCTGGCATCAGTTTTTGTCTATCACATCAGGTTTTTGAGATACCAAATATTGCATTTTCAATAAAAACTGCAGAAGAAAAATATTAAATAAATGTGGATATCTACATAAAATGATATTATAAACACACTATCCTAAAAATACAGCACCATATTTTAACACTAAAGCAGTCACTGACTCGCAACAACTTGCAATCATAAGTGTCAGAGTTAATTTCGGGTAAAATCAATGAAAATGGGGTATGCCGATAGCATAAAAATGAGATGTGATAGAGCAAATCTGAGATCAGATTTGGAATCAGCACCCTGAAATTAGTCTAAAACAGCTGCAAAAGTCCAGGCCAGAAAAAAAATGTTTATTTGTTGTTGACCAGTATTATTTGTCGGCCACCATCCCCACACACAATGCTTCTTTCACAAATTCACTTATTCATCTTAACCGTCAATACACCTTTCTCTAATTTGCGTTTGTTCTCTGATCAAAATGTTTCCTCTTCCTGTCCCTCAGTGTCGTTGCCAGAATGTACATTTCGACGCATGTTTGGCAACGTTTCAGCTTTGGTTCTATGTTCCCTTGTCAGTGTCCATGTTTTTCATCGCA